AAAAAAAAAAAAAAAAAAAAAAAAAAAAAAGAATAACAAATTATTACCTCATTTCTCTTTGTTCGAAGCTCTAATCGATATAAATACTATATTCAAAATAGACCACCAATAACTGCAAACGACACTTAACAACTGCTACATCCTGAACTTATTTCTGAACTTCTATCAGCACAAATCTATTGTTATTTCAAAACTGTAGTTCAAAACTGACTTATTTCAGCGACCAAATTCCCCTTCATTTCTACTGTCTCCTGACAAAATCTTCATAGGAATAAAATATTTAACTTTAATGTTGAACTTAAAGTAGATAGTTCACTCTTCCTTTAAAAATTTGATCTACTGAGGCAGTTAGCTGTTCTATTGCTCCTGAGACGATATTACTTCGAATTCACTAAAGAAAAACGACAGAGTACAGCTGAACAATATCCATAATAAATTTTTTTAGTCAGTTTCCAAAACGGTGTTGCTTTCGAAATGAAAGTAAAATCAAAAATGAAGTTTGCGCAGATTGTTCCTACAATAAAACTTTACTTGCGACATACTTTCGCAATTAACAGTTATTTTACTATGCTGTTATGACAGCTTATGACAACTTGTACAAAAACGTCGAGGAACGAATGCAAAGATAGCGATAACAATGACCCAGCTCCGATACATTCCAAATTAAGTACATAGAGCCATACGATTCACCTACTGTATTAAAATATACTACTGTATTAAAACACATAAATCCATCTAAAGCTCTGCAAAAAACAACTACAGAAACTATACAGCAGTTTTCAAACAATCACATAACCATTATAACAAAATAAATTAGTACTGAGCAAAAACTGGTACCAGAAAAAAAGACAAATCAACCGGTATGTCCATTTAGACCTTTATACATATAAATCAATAAAAATTTTGCTAAATACTGTCATCAGCTACAGTGTTGAGACTGTCAAATTATTCAATGAAAATATAAGAACAAAAGTTGTTAGACTGAAAAGATTAGAAAATAACCTTTCGTCCGGAAAACTTTCTAAAATTCCACTTTTCTGACTGATTACCTGGTAAGTAATATAATTTCAGCCAAACAACGCTCAACTAAAACTTCCGAGCAACATTGACAAGCAGTAATATTTCTCCAAACAAATATCACAATACCCGAAAACAAAAAACAAGATATAAACCCGTAAATTTGAAAGTAATGACTACCAGTTACAACCTTAAAAATCCTCGCAAATTCGATTTTTTCTAGCAAATGTCAAAGCATACAGCCTCTTTCAAACAAAATTGAATCGAATGAATCATATAAACACCTTCCTTAATTATATCCATCATAAAGCCACTACCAATATAACATAATCAAAAAAACAAAATTTGGTATAATTCAGGTTATCAAAAAATTACACGAAAAAAGCATCGCATTGAGTAGCAGTAGAAGAATTACTAGTTGAAATAAAACAATAAAAATAAAGTTGGGTAAAACTGAGCAAAATAATAAGTTACCCAGCCAAACAGTGGTCAACTTAATAGTAGATAGTTTCGTAACTATTAATTTTTTTTTTAACTGCTCAATGAGTGCACATTTAATGAATCTTCAGATGCCCACCAAATCAATTATTAATCGTATTGAAAATTCTATAGTGAGATTCAAAAGCAAAAAAAAATAAATTAAAAAAGTATATGAACAGTTTTAGAATGAACACAAATTTTTTAAACAATCTCATATAATTTGTTAAGTAATCGCCAGTACGTCTTACACATTTCGCCAGAACCAGTTTTGAGACCATTCGTAAGATAAGCAAATGATATACCCTTCTCAACATCAACATTTAAAGCTTGACCACCATACCCTGGATGACCCCACACATAACCGCCCTGCAAACGTTCATTTCAAATTTTTTATCTTATGAAAAAATGATATTTTAAGCAAAATTTCAAGCACTGTTCACAAAATTATAAAGAATAGCAGAAGTTTTAAAAGTGATGAAGAAGTTTAATAAACCTCTCTTATCGGGCGAGGAGCAAAGAAAAAGCCATGGCCTTTTACGAATGGATACAGAACCACCTGAAAATTACGTATCTGTAAATTCTCTATCCACTTTCAACCGACTACTAACTTTTTTCCAAAATACTTGTAACATAAAACGTGTTGCACTTTCTACTCAATATCAATTTGAATAAACAATTCCAGCAACAGCTGCCTGATAAAAGCAAAAAATTTTGCAGTCAGAAGTCGAAATTAGTTAAAAGCAACATTGAATCATTAAGAATATATAAAAAGTATTATTTAGAAAGATAGTTATAAAAACTGAAAATAGGCCACAAATGTATAGTGCCCTATATCAATTACCTGTTCCAAATGCCAACCGTCCATTGTTGGCTTAGATATCAGAGAAAGCGTCTTGTTGCTAATCAGTTTTCCATCAAGCATCATGGAGAAAAGTCTGGCTAGATTTTCCGCATTTGCAACACCAGTTACTGATGGCAAATTGAGCGACAATATCTTTGGGTCGTTTAGAGCCACGGTATCCTAGAAATTAACCGTTTACCATTAGGTTTAATTAAATTTAATTTCACCTCGGAAAATGTAAATTATATGTTAAACAAGTTCATAATAAAATATTTTGGCAAACCTGTAACGAGGAAGAAAACTTACATAGTTGAGTGGAATCCAAGACGGATGAATGCGAAGTTTTGCAGCAATTGAGTTTGAAGACCTGACATACAACAGGCCTAACATCGCTATCATCCGTGGATCAGCAAAAATATCGCGAGCATACTCAACCAAGCCAGGTAGCGTGATTCGCGCGTATGAACCGAAATTTGCTTGGTCAGGGCCAATAACGATATCAAGCCCTAAGAAAAGTCATATAACATTTACCAGATATAAAGACGTATGCAGTGTAATTATGTATACAGAGACCCAACAATGTTCCATTAACAAATTTTCAAAAATACTAAAAAACGTCCAAGAAATACATAAAAAAATCATGAAATTAGTTTTAAATTGCTATTATATTCACTTGCTATTATGATAAAGAGTCTTTGTTTTTACCGTATTTATCAGCAATTTCTTCTTTAAAAAATGTCTTGACATCTCGTCCATATTCATCAGCCTTTCGAAATACTCCATCTACTAACCATCCAAAAGTTATTGCATGATATCTAAAGCAAGAAAGTTCTCGTAAAAATGCCTCCTTGAAAAGAGTCAGAAGTGAAGTGAGAATCAGTTTCTCAAAAGTTTCATGAAAACTAAAAAAACAGTTAATACCCTTTTTTTCGAAAACTTTCAGCCAATCATTACCCAAAACCATCAGTGCAAAATAACGCGATCTGTCTCCAAAAAATTTTTCAGAATTTTTTCGCTAGTGCTACCTATACCAGTACAAAAGCAAATGTAATATTAAAAACAATTTTCTTAACACTGAGTGAAAGTTATAGTATTAAATAAAGTGATAGTCTCTACATTTACCTCTCACAGAAGTGGTTTAAAATTCCTAAGTTAACCAGTCTTTCTAGAGACTGCCATATGCTAATAAACGGTTTGAGTTCTAAGAGTAGATCAGCTGCAGAAATATGACCTCAAACATTATCTTTACAGAAACACAGAAACCTTACCCAGATGCAGATCCCGGTTTCCAGAGAGGTTTCGCACCTTCAAGTTTCTCCATTATCCGGCTTGGATCTGTTGCATCGTTCATCGTTATGTCCTCAAGATACGGTATTCCTGCCTGAAAAAGATACATTTTATATTTCTAAATACAGTACTAATCCAGTATTAAATCGCATCCATTGCTACTACCTTATATTTATTAATTTAATTTAATGGTCATTTACAACCCAATCATGTCAACAACTACCACACTTACCCAAATTTATTAAGTGAGAATTGCCACAAAAACCTTAGTTACCCTATGAGTGAGCAAGTCTTCGATAGTTGTATTTTCCTTGCTGAATTGACCGTATTTTGGCCAATATTTAACTACCAAATCGTCATATGCAAGACGACCTCTGTCAACCAACATTGCCACACATAACGATGTTATAGCCTAAAACGATTAGCATAAAAACAATGAGTTAAAGGTCAACATCAGACAATAAAACTTTTACAGCAACTGAAAAAGGTTTGAGAATTAAGCAGGCTTCGCAGCTGTGGAAAATCAAACAGACTTTATCATTAAAGATGAAAATATTGGAGAAAAGCTAAACGTAAATAAGAAACTTTATACCGAAATGTTGATTAAAAGCCAAATCTTTAAGCAAACTGTTAGGTATGCAAAGATAAGACCTTATGCTTGTTTTCAAATATATTTTAAAATCAGCTAAATAGCCCATTATGTTTCTTAGCCCGCCGTTAAAATAAAGCATAGAAAGCTGCCACAAAACTTCATCTTTCGTATCAACTTCAAAAAAAGGCATTAAACATTAATAATCTTCCCAACGAATCTTTTTTTTGACATTTAGCTATGAAAAAAATAAATTCGATAAAATACATTGTCTATAGCTATAAATGTTTAGCGTGGTGTCTAGGAAAAATCAAGATTCTTATCCAATTTCCTGTATTTACCGCTAGAAGCGATTAAAACAAGTCGTTCGTATATCCAATTTAAAGTAGAAAATAATTGGTGCTCAAATTGATCAAAAGTTATATAAAATAAGTTTTTTGTGAACGGTTCTTTGTACTCCTGTGGTCTTTTTTCCCTTTGATCTTTTTCCAATGATGATAATATTTTAAGATTTTTTCCTCTACTGCCTTTAGTCACCTTACTAATATCTTATTTTAATACTTTAACCAACTAAAACACTCCATGGCTTCTTCTTTTCAAAGATAATAACAGAGTACAGAAAAGTTTTCAAAATAAATGCTGCTTGGAAGCGTTTACTGTTTAAATTTGTAATTTTTAAGCCGTCTTAAAATAAAAACTTTTTAATGTCAGCCTTTGAGCAATTAAACAGTTTACTAACATTAAAAAAAATGCAGAAATACATCACGAAGATTAGATGTCTTTTAAATCTACAAACCTAAAATGTGATAATTTTTGAAAATCCTGAATCAAAACTTTTAACCAACGTTACCAGTTAGCAGACATTCAAGAATTAAATTAAGCAGAATCGTCTCAATAGTTTTCAGTAGCTTTTATCAATTTCGAGGCATTCGAGGCAAAAAAAACATAGCTTTTAAGCTCAGTCTCATAAAACAAGCCTGCCTTAAATATGATGCAAAAAGTTTGTGGAAGAACCCTACTTTTGTAGCAGAAAATAACACCATCTTAGTGTAATTTGTCCACAGACGACCAGCTTCAAAATCTGCATGGCCACTCCAGACGTTGACTACAAGTTTGCCTTTGTGATAGATTGATAAATGTGCACCTTCTCGTTCGTAACCATCTTCAAAATTTTTTCTGCAAAAACTAGGTTAGACTTCAAATTACTCTGTTTTTGCATTTGAACTATAATAATTTGAGCAAATTTGCTGTTGCAAGAGATCTACAAAGGTTTTACAATGACTGAGGATAAAAATGAAGCACCGAAATACGTCAACAACTGGTCGAAAACGTTCATCAAATGTTCCCATCGGGGTCCTTCGAAAAGAGTACTGCGAAACCATTATTAGGTGACATATTTGCCATAACAACATATAAACGAAAAGGGCGACAAAGGGAAATAACAAATTTCTGTCCCTCAAAAGCTTCTTCATCTTTGACTGTTGTAAGTAAGAAACTTCTGAAGTATATATTTGGTAAACTCGTGTCAATTGAATTGACGAATTTATGCCAACAGAGCCATAATAGGTAATAAGCGCCTGTTGTATTCAAATAATACACCAGACGTTAGTTACTAATATCCACCAATGTCTCAAACTACTGTTTCAGAAATCTATCTGCTTGAGGAGATAAAAAAAAAAATACTAGATTTTGCCAATTTTAACTATTTCAATTTGGTAGAACAAATAAATTTAGTTTTTTGATGGCAGATGACAACAACTTTACAGCGGTTAAGCATAAATAGCGATATAAGAATAGCAGCTAAAGAAAAGCTCGAAAATTAAACTAAAGAAAGTCAACAGTCGCCATTCATTAGTTTTGTAGCAAGATAGTTCGTTAATATAAGACACCAGTTTGATTCATTTTACGCTGTTTCCCCGGTGCGCAATTCAAA